GGTGTGAGGGTGACAGGGGTGTCTGCCCCCCAGGCCTGTGTGGGTGTGGAAAGCTGCTTGGGATCCTCCATGTCTGTGTTTTGTGGTGCCTGGAGTTTCCTTCCTTTGGCTGCACTGTGGGCTTGGGGTCGCTCACTTGCTGCTGTGTCTGACTAAACTTCCTCAGCTCGTCCCGTCCCTCTGCAGGGCTATCTGAGAGGTGGTAGGTAGAGAAGTTGCATATTCGCCCAGGATTGCATTCTTTGCATCAGAATATCAAATCCAGAGCCTAGTTAGGAATGTGTGAAACCCTTGGAAATTATCATTAGATCCTTGGAGCTTATCTCAGGGTGCTGGGCAGAGACCTGCTTGGCTGTTTGTTTCTGCCTGCACTTTTTATGTGTCTGTTTCGAAGCTCTTCTTGTGCCTATCCCTCTTGCTGAGAGCCTCCATTCCCTTGTTGCAGGTGGTTACATTCAGCAGCAAGTTCAGACCTGGACAAAGCAGTATCGAGCTATGGAAACGCAGGTTATCCCAGCTATGGAGAGGCTCATCGCGTGGCTGCCTCTGCACTTCCCTGAATCCCAGAAGACAGCAGTGGTGCACGGTGACTTTAGGTGCTGCTTGGCTGGCAGCACCTCCCTGGACAGACAGGAGAGGGTGTAAAACAACGGGCAAGACCTAAAAAGGTGCTGAGCTGGGCTGGCTCAGCAACCTCAGAGCATAAAATCTGTGGTTTGGGTCAGATTCAGTATGTCCTGAACAAGGAGATCCGGGAGTGCCAGGATCCCCTCGTGTCCTTCCTGAGGAACCTGTCGCAAGAGCTCCGGCTGATGCTGTCTTGCACCCAGAGCTCCCACATTTCCACCGTGCTCCGAGCTCCTTCAGCAAGGGCAGTTTTCCTCCTGTGTTGTCAGCCCCTAGCTGCAAGGGCTGCGAGGGAGGTTTTTGCCCATTCTGGACCAGGGCTCCTTCGCACACGCTCTCCTAGGCACAGTTTCCCTGTGCCCGGAAGCCAGGGAGTTCTCTGCTCCCTAGCAGGGATGTTGTTCCCTGTTTTTTCTCCCCACTAGGCTGCTGCCCTCTCCTGGGAGTCACTGCCACGGAAGGCTGTACTGAACAGAATCTATAGCACACACCAGTGCAGGGCTCTGAGTTACTGCTTGTGTTAAAACGACCAGCAAATCCTCCTGGGCAGGGACTTGTCTGCATTGCTTTCTGGCTAGGCTGTCCTGTAACATCTGTTAATGATCTGAGGCTCTAAACTGTCTTATTGCATTCTTCAAAGCACAGTTCGGTTCATTATTAACCGAGGAGTTCTCTGTTGAGTAATCTCAGTCCTTCCTGACCCACGCCTGCAGGAATTAATGTTTCACTCCCAAAGCAGTTTTTGCATAGAGCAAAGGGCATCAGAAGGCACCTACTGCTGCTGAGCGCTGGCATTTTTCCCCCCTCTTGGAACTTTTCTGACCTGTTTTCCCTCTGATACAGGCTGGATAACCTGATTTTTCATCCAGAGAGGCCAGAAGTCCTTGCTGTTCTTGGCTGGAAGTTTTCAACTCTAGGAGATCCCATCTCTGATGTGGCAAATAACTGCATGGCCTACTTCCTGCCACCTCCCTTTGGTACACTGCGAGGTACAGAGAGGGGTGAAGTCACATTTGACAAGTGGCGATAGGAATCAGAGTTCAGAAACAGACAGGCTCCTCTGCAGAGGGCTCAGCTGGCAGTTGGGCTGACTGCTTTTGAAAATATCATATTTCCCCCTCTGCCCTTTTTACTCTTCCTGAAGAATCCGCCATCCAGGGCAGAGGCATCTTCCTGTATGTGACGTGACTGCTCTATCGTGGTCCCCCTGTCCCCAGTTTGCCTGGGATCTGCCACCCGTTTGATGAGAAAACGTTGGGCTGTGGAGCTGGCCAAGTGCTCCCTCTCCCAGCTGCTTCTGTCCCCCTGTTCATGAACAAGGACCTTTGTTAACAGTGGTGCCAGGGCTGGCCCCCAGGAAGAGGGTCCTGGTTCACAGCTTGCAAATCTGGGTTTAAAAATTCATTTTGATTATTTTTCTCTCTCACTTAAGCTGTTAAACTTGGGAACTTCTTTTCCAGAGGAATGACAAGAACCAGATCTTCCTTGGGTGGAGGAATGAGCTGTGGGCTAAGCCAGACCAGAACAATTTTGCCCAGGAAGCTATACGCTTACTAAAGAGTAAAATCTACGGGTAAAGAGTTAGGAAAATCTCTGCAGCCACAAGTTTCCTGCACAGGGGGGAGCCACGTCCCCGGTGAGCCCTGCCAGGGCCCCTGCCTGCGCTGCCTCCAAGTAGCCTCTCAAGTTTGTGGTGTTTGGAGCAGTCCAGAGCTTTGGGGCTGGGCCTGGGTGGCTGCAGACGCATCAGATCAGCCCATGCTTAGAACTGAGCACCCAGCTCCCC